CAATGCTGTGATAAATGTTGACCAATCAGAGACTTAATCTGGTTGTACAGAATAAAAACCTGAAAACAACCAAAATGTTCGCTAATTTGGGTCAGAGACACAGATGCCAAAATGGGTTTAAGTGTATAGAAATTAGGGGAATAGAAAGGCCCCTGAGAGAAAATGGGAAAGGAGCTGGGAGAAGCAGGGAAAGCCTTCAGACTCATGCAAGTCTGATCCTCAGGGAAAGAAGGGAAATTTGTGTGTGGTTCTGAGAAAGGTCTGCAGAGCTGTCAGGGATACCTCAAGCCCAAGTCGCTAGTCAGAGAAATCCCAAGTCTCCCTGAAATGAGCTTCCCTAAGTACCTTTCCTTATATTTAGTTATTGACTAGGAAGTGTGGACTTGTAAACTTGTAAATTTCAGAGGACAGCAGCTAAAGCCCTTGGCAAATTTTGCTCCCTGCAGTCCAGGGTCTGGGAGATACGTGGCTTATAGTAAAACACTAACACTTTGCACCTATGGTTAAATATGATTTTTATGATGTGGGCAGAAATTCACAATGTGTTATCTTAAAAACAAGCAACGTTACAAGACAAGGTTATATAATTCTCTATATGTAATTATAGGAAAAACTATATAGTATGTATGTATGTAAAATGACTATAAGTAAATATACCAACAAATGAAGCTAGACGATCTCTTAAATAGTGAGGTTGTGATTGATTTTTATTTCCTTTGATTACTGGTCTTTTTAAAATAAATTTCTTATTTTGAACAGCCATTATTATCATAATAAGAAAAGGAAAACAAAATAGAAGGTGGAAAAGAATGAAATACAGGCCTGAACTGTAGTAAAACCAATGGGAAAAGTAACGGATGCTGGTGAGAGGTTAAAGGCAGAATCACTTAAAAGTTTTGCAGCCAGTTGATGGAGAGAATTAAAGAAATGGGGTAAGGGAAGAAAATCGATGGGTTTCCCATTTGTGTTACTAAGGAATAGGGGATTTGAGAATAAATAGGGATCTCAGCGGGAGGAGGGAAGTGAAGATGATTTTGATTTTGATTGTCCTGACCAGTCTTACTTTACATTCTCTTTTTATCAGGCTGTATTGTTACACAGGAATCCTATTACATTTCTGTAGAAAATTTCCCCTTCACTGTTTCTAGATGAATGTTTTTCAAACTGCACATTGCAACCCATTAGTGTCACAAAATGATGTGGTAAGTCTCGATCTGCCTTTTGTGAATAAAACAGAAGTGAAGTAAGAGTAAGTAAGAGTATTATCTCCTGAAACTCTTATTTCAGTTGTGTGTGTGTCCACTCCTGTCTTTCACATCCTGGATAGTGATATTTTTTACTTCGCATTGCAGTCAAACACATTCAATAGTCACTATCCTAAAGTCACTATCCTAAATACAGATTCCCCTCTCTCCTCAAATCTCTAAATCTTCTTTCCCTCCCTGCTGTGAGATTATAATCCTCTTACTTCACTGGGAAATTAGAAGTAATCCCAGCAGAACTTCACACTTCCCTGTCATTGAATGAATTACATGCTTGCATCTGTATTTACTAACTAAGCTCTTTATTCTGCTACAATGGGTAAAGCATTTATCTTGCTTTCTAAAACCAACTTTCCACAATGTTGTGAATCCCAACCTTCCTACACAGCAAGGACACAGGATATCACACTACCATAATCCTCTCTCTGGCATCAACTTTGCCCTCTTTACTGGTTGGACTCTAGGAGAATGCAAACATCGTGTGATCTCTTCACAGCTTTAAAAAACAAAAATGCCATTGTTGGACTCATATTCCCTCCAACAAACATGAAGCTACTTCCTCCAACCCTCCAGTCACCTCCCTTTTACAACAAAACTTCTTGGACCAGTTGCTTCTTTTTCCTGTCTCCGTTTTTTTCTTTTTCCTTTCTGGATCCTTCCGGAGGAAGGTTGCGTTCACCACCCTGCCAGCCTTTGTTTTTCCTATCAATGTCAATAATGACTTCCAGGTTCTTAAATTCAGTGCTCCATCTCTTCCTGGTAACCAATCAGCAATACTTTCTCTTTCGACAGACCAGCTTACTGCTCTAGATCTCAGGAGGCCTTTCTCATCACCCCTCACCTTCCTGACCTTTAAGCATGGAGTGTCCCAGAGCTCCATCCTCACGCTGGGACTTGTTCCCATTTTTATCTATGCTTGTTTCCTAGAGATGTTATCCACTTCAGTAACTTGAATATATCTTTGTTTACAAATACCACGTTTCTATAGTTTGCTTCGCCTTACCTTTGAACTCCAGATTTGTATATCTAAACACTTCATTGACATTTCCTCTCAGAAGTCTAGTAGGCAGATCATATTTAATATCTTTAAAACCATACTCTTGATTTCACCACACTCCAAAACCTGTTCAACCCAGACTTT